CGGTTGTACCATTTTATATTCCCATCAGTTTATGAGAGTTCTAGGTATTCTACATCCTTGCTAGTAATTGGTATTGTATAGTTTAAACATTGTAATAGATGTGTGGTAATAGTTCACTGGGTCTTAATTTACATTTTCCTAACGACTAATGATGAACATCTTTTCATGTGCTTATTTTGACATTCATATATTTTTGTTCAAATCTTCTACCTGTACTATTTGTTTGTTTGTTTGTTTAAATTTACTTATTTTAAGTAGACTCCATGCCCAGCAGGGAGCTCAAAATGGGGTTGAACTCAGGACTCTGAGATCAAGACCTGAACTGATATCAGGAGTTACATGCTTACCTTGACTGAGCCAGCCAAGGGTCCCTCTTCTGCCCATTTTAAAAATTGAGCTATTTGTTTTCTTATCATTTTGTTTTGAGAATCCCCTATATATTCTCAAAGTAAGTCCTTTATCAGATGTATGATTTATAAAGCTTTTCTCCCAGTCTGTGGCTTCCCTTTTCATTCTCTTAACAGCGTTTTACAAAAAGCGTTGTTCTTTACATTTTTTTTTTTGTCTTCCACCTCCCTTCCATGTATAGTTCTTACTTTTGAGGAAGTTCAGATTTATCAATTTTTTCTCCTATGAATCGTGTTTTATAGTGACAAAACATTTTTGCCTAACCCAAGATCACAAAGATTTTTCCCTATATTTTCTTCAAAAGATTCTATAGTTTTAGGTCTTACATTTAGGTCCTATCATGGAGTTTTAGTTGAAAAATTAAATATATACCCACCATAGGACACAGCTATTCCACTCTTGGGTTTTTAACCCAGAGATATGAAAGCATGTATATATTAATGTCCATGACACCCTAATCCCCAAACTGGAAACAATCCAAAATGCTTATCAACAGCATTTGAAAATAAATTGAGATACATCAATACAGTGGGATACTCTCCAGCAATAAAAAAGAGAACACTATCCATGTGGTAATAAAATAAATGAATCTCAGAGTAATTGTGCTGAGTGAATAATGCCAGACATTCATACACTATGCTCCATTTATATAAAATTCTAAAGAAAACAAATTTAGGGGCGCCTGGGTGGCTTAGTCAGTTAAGCGTCCGACTTTCACTTAGGTCATGATCTCGCGGTTCGTGGGTTCGAGCCCCGCGTCCGGCTCTGTGCTGACTGCCAGCTCAGAGCCTGGAGCCTGTTTCAGTCTGTGACTCCCTCTCTCTCTGACCCTCCCTTGCTTACGCTGTCTCTCTCTCTCTCTCTCCTAGAAATAAATAAAAAGCATTAAAAAAAATAAAGAAAACAAATTTAGTAATAGAAAAGAAGTGATTGGCTGGGATAGGGATGCTAGGGATAAGCCAGAGGGAGGGATTTGAGAAGGACAAGAAGAAACTCTTAGGGCTTAAGAATATAGACATTATTTTGATTGTGGTGATGGTATGCTGTCCTCAGCAGCGCGAATACTAAAACTGGAATGATTGTGGTGATGTTTTCACAGATGTATCCATATATCACTGCCAAACAGTACGATGTGAGTATATTCGATTTATTATATGTCAATTATACTTTAATAAACTGTTCAAAGAAAAAGGTCATTGTTTTACTTAGTTTTACAGTGTGTTTGGGGTTTTTTAGTTTTGTTAATTTTCCACATCAAGATCTAAATAAAGTCCACACTTTGCATTTCGTTGCTCTCTGTCATTTAGTTAGCTCAGGAGGCTTGGGATGTACAAACTCTGTATCATGCAAAGGAAAGACTGGCCCTTAGGTCAACCCTGGGAGATAACTTCTGAGTTCTTGGAGCACCCAGCCTGTTAACAGTATCATTGTATACGTGGGGTTTACAAAGAACTTTTCAGAATACTTCCAAATTTTCTTATTCTCCAGACCTTCTCTAAACCCTTAGATCAATTCCTCAAGGAACAGTGTCTGCTCCCCCATATACTCCCTGCTTCCCCAAAGTACCTCTCCTGATCTTACCATTTACCTTTAACTTCCCAAGGAAAAGCTCGCAGATTGGCTGTTGTACCCCAAATCTTAAAAACCACAATCCCTTTTCCCTTCATTCCTTAAGGTTATTTTCACTGGATGGTGAATTCTGGGTCAATAGTTCTTTTCTTTCAGCACTTGAAACCTGTTTTGCAACTTCCTTCTGACCCATACAGTTTCAATGAGAAATCTGCTGTCATTCACATTGTTTTCACCCTATAGGTAATGTGGTATTTCTCTTTGGCTACTTTCCAGGTTGTCTCTCTTTTTTTTCCTTTCCTCCTCCTCCTCCTCCTCTTCCTTCTCCTTCTTTTCATTTCTTTTTTTTTTTTTTTTTTTTTTTTGCCTTAGTGTCCAGAGTTTGACTATGGTGTGTCTTGGTGTGGATTTTTGCTACACCAAGCTTCTCGGATCTCTAGATTTTTGCCAAATAGGGGAATTTTTTTCAGCCATTACTTCCTTGAATACTTTTCCTGCTTTGCCTTCTTTCTCTCCTCCATCTAGGAAGTAAAAGCACTTATTTGTTCTTGCAGCTTGGTGACCTGGCAGCCAGAAACAGGAGAGGTAATGTAGCTCCTGCTGTTCAGGAAAGTATGAAATAAAAGTTACTTAGTGACTTTTAATTACTTTGTGGGTATTTGTGTACATTTACACATGTATATACCCTAATGAAGCTTGTCCTTTAAATTCTGGAGTAAGCTAAGTATATACTTTTATTCCAATCCTGTGCCATTAATTCTTAGTCAGACTATGAGTCATAGTATTTGATAGTCATATCTCATCTTTTAGCAAAGAAGATATTACTATCTTGATCATTTAACTCATCATAATAGGTCCTAGGTAACTTTTGACTCTTTCAAAAAAAAATCAAATTTATTCTTAAAGGATATATTTGTTATGATCAGGGATATAGGAAAGAATGTGCCAGCTTCTGAAGTCACAAAGTGATGTTGGAGTCACAAAAAGATGTTGAGAAGTCCTGATAGTCTTCAACAGCTAAACAGCTTCCAAAAGTGATTCCTTTAAAGGTAATAATACTCATATATATATATATTTTTTTTTTTAATGTTTTATTTATTTCTAGGAGAGAGAGAGAGACAGCGTGAGCAGGGGAGGGTCAGAGAGAGAGGGAGTCACAGACTGAAACAGGCTCCAGGCTCTGAGCTGGCAGTCAGCACAGAGCCTGACGCGGGGCTCGAACCCACTAACCGCGAGATCATGACCTGAGCGAAAGTCAGACGCTTAACCGACTAAGCCACCCAGGCGCCCCAATACTCATATATATTTTAATTTGGGCATATTTGCTATTAAATAACTAGTTAGGGATTTTTTTATGACTACTTTGTGGATGTGCATGTATGTGTGAAATTAGTGAGGCTCTCTGGGGGAGGGGAGTATTAAAGCTTCCACCTCCCAGATATTCTTTATGAATTGAATAGCAATTTATTAAATAATAGTGCAAGGACTATTACAAATTAGGAAACTGAATTAGATATATTCATGATTCATATCAGTAGAAAACCATTTCCCAATCCACATATTGTGATAATTTACAATACATGGGAAGACTATCTTTTAAACAGATTATTGCTTTGATGGTAATTTAGCATACTAAAAACTAAGAACCACAAAGTAAACATGTTTAGCCTAATAACGTAAAGGCAAATTCTGGACTTCTAAATCTTCAAGTAAAATTTTCCAAAGCCACACTGTCCTTTGCTAATTGCAAATTAGGTGGTTCTCACATTTTTTGAAATACGAGGCTTGTTTGGCAGTATTTCACGTAAATATACAAAGAGAATTATTTTTCCCCTTTGATATTGTTTTCTTTAAGTGTAACTAAGCAGAAATGGATCTTATATAGTTAACTTTTATTGATTTCCTATAATGTGCCAGATACTGTTAGAGGTTTTCATTACTTCAATATTTTATTGTCCACAAAATAACCTTACATAATAGACATTTTAAAAAAGTAATCTCGGGGCGCCTGGGTGGCTCAGTCGGTTAAGCGTCCGGCTTCGGCTCAGGTCATGATCTGACAGTTGTGGGTTTGAGCCCCGCGTCGGGCTCTGTGCTGACAGCTAGCTCAGAGCCTGGAGCCTGTTTCGGATTCTGTGTCTCCCTTTCTCTCTGACCCTCCCTGTTCATGCTATGTCTCTCTCTCTCTCAGAAATAAATAAAACATTAAAAATTAAAAAAAAAAGTAATCTCTACATCCAACAAGAGGCTCAAACTTATGACCCTGAGATCAAGAGTCACATGCTGTACTGCCTGGGCCAGCCATATGTCTCCCAAACAGGTGTTTTTATCCTTATTTGGTAGATGAGGAACTAAACTTAGAGAGATTGTGTTAACTGCCCAGTGTCACAAATGGAAATGGCAGAGTAGGCATTCAAACCCAGATCCAACTGACTTCAACATTCATGCTGTCCCCTTTGCCTCCACTATACTAGAATATTTTATCTTGAGGGAGTTGGTAGGTTTGCCGATATAAAGAGACAATCTGGTTTCCAGGAAAAAAATAATTAGATTATCACATGCACTAAGCTTAAGTACTCTCCAAATGACATAAATTTGTTAGAAACCAATGTGGTTTTGGACATGAAAAAAACCAATAGTTCAATTTAAAGATACCCAGAGGCTTTATTATCAGTCACCAGTTTTATTTTACAAGGATATGGGATATCCTTATTGCCACTACCAATATACACAAGGATTTTTAAAATTTATTTTGAGAGAGAGACAGAGAGAGAGACATAAGAGACTGCAGGAGAGAGGCAGAAAGAAAATCCCAAGTAGGCTCCATGCTCTCAGCTTGGAGTGTCGTGCAGAGCTCAAACGCATGAACTATGACACTATGATCTGAGCCAAAACCAAGAGTTGGACACTTAACCAACTGAGCCATGCAGGTGCCCCTATATACACAGAGATTTTTTAAAGTCCTGATTCAATACTTTCCATTCCTCAGGAATAAAATAAAGTCTGTGCTTTTTTTTTTTTTTTTTAATATGGAACACTTTATGAATTTGTGTGTCATCCTTGTGCAGGGGCCACGCAAAACTTCTCTGTATTTGTCTAATTTTAGTATATGTGCTCCCGAAGTGAGCACAAGTTTGTGCTTTTTTAAGTATGCAGGCCCCAGTTTTCGTAATTATATCTGGCAGTATAATCTGGGTTATGCTATGATACTGAGCAGTTCTAAAAATCTTGGTTGTTTAGTATAATCAAGGTTTATTTCTCACTCATACAAAATTTGTTGTGGGCCTGGGTGGTTCACCAGGACTTTCCTGCCCTCCCCCAATCCTCCATGATGATTCAGAAATATAGGTTACTTCTGAGCCCATGTTTTAGCTTTTCCATTTCAAACCCAGGCCCCTTCCACTACTGCAATGACAGGGCAGCAGAGAGACTTGAGGATCACAAACAGCTTTACACTACCATGGCCCAGAAAGGATTTGTCACTTTTGCCCACATATCGTTAGTCATAATAGTCACATGACCCTGCCCACTTGCAAGGGCAGCTTGCAAAGAAAAGAAAAGTAGTCTTCTGTGTATCTGGGAGAAGAGAGTAAGATAGTGTTGAAACCCAATAAAAGTAACATAATAATGTGCATCAGGCATGTCGTATATAGGCACAGAAATAGCCATGTGGAAACAGAACGACTGGTTCCAGGTGGGTAGCCTGGGGCCATATGGACCCTTTACTAGGCATGCTGCTGCTTGGGCTTACCAACTCAAAATACTCCTATTTCTCCAGTTTTTCTCTTCTCTTTACCTTTCATGAGAGGCCACATGGGTTGTGTGAGGCTATGGGGTCAGGGACAAGAAGGAGGAGGCGGAGGAGGAGATCCTCACTGAAGAAAGGAAAGGGAGAAAGGAGGAAAAATAAAATAATCCCAGGCTCCTCTTCACTTACCCCCACATTTTGGGCTTTGTAATTATCCTAAATCCTATTCCATCTATTCTTCCCCCTATCTAAGCCCCCTCCTGCTTGCTGTTTAATAAATGCCCAAGAGGGGGCCCTGGGTGGCTCAGTTGGTTGGGCGGCCGACTTCTACTCAGGTCATGATCTCATGGTTAATAGGTTCAAGCCCCATGTCAGGCTCTGTGCTGACAGCTAGCTCAGAGCCTGGAGCCTGTTTCAGATTCTGTATCTCCCTCTTTCTCTGACCCTCCTCTTCTCACGCTGTCTCTCTCTCTCAGAAATAAATAAAAAACATTAAAAATAATTAATAAATGCCCAAGAAAGTTGGAATCTGGGAACTCTTTTGAAGATAGATGAATCATATTTTAAAAAAATTTTTTTAACATTTATTTATTTTTGAGAGACAGAGCATGAGCAGGGGAGGGGGAGGAAGAGAGGAAGATGCAGAATCCAAAGCAGCCTCCAGGCTCTAAGCTGTTTGTTAGCATAGAGCCCCAAGCGCGGGGCTTGAACTCAGGAACCATGAAACCATGACCTGAGCTGAAGTCGGATGCCCAGCCGACTGAGCCACTCGGGCACCCCGTCTATATATATACATTTTTTTTTTAAACTTTAAATTCAAGTTAGTTAACATACGGTGTAGGTGTAGTCTTAGTTTCAGGAGTAGGACCTAATGATTCATCTCTTACATCTGACACCCAGGGCTCACCCCCAAAAGTGCCCTCCTTAACGCCCATCATCCATTTAACCCAATCCATTCCCCTACCCTCCACTCCTCCAGCAACCCTCAGTTTGTTCTCTGTATCTAAGAGTCTTTTTTAGTTTGCTTCCCTCTCTATTTTTATATTATTTTCCCTTTGCTTCCCCTATATTCCTCTGTTGTGTTTCCCAAATTCCACATATGAGTGAAACCATATGATACATAGATGAATCCTATTATAGTCTGTAAGTATGGAAAGATTTGTTATCAGCACCCACACGCAAATTTTGCCTATCACTACACCATAGTTATAAAACCAACAAACAAACAAAAAAAAAACAAAAACAGAGCAGGAAATAGGCTTTTAAAAATGATCTATTACCTTTTTTGTTCTAGGCAGACTTTAACTAATCGGATGAGACCCACCCAAAGTAAAGACAGGACTCTCTACTCAGCCTGCAGATTCAAATTTAAAAAATAATTTTTTTGTAATGTTTATTTATTTTTGAGAGAGAGAGAGAGAAAGATTGAGCATGAGTAGGGGAGAGGTAGAGAGAGGAAGACACAGAATCCAAAGCAGGGTCCAGGCTGTCAGAACAGAGTCTGATGCAGGGCTTGAACCCACGAACTATGAGATCATGAGCTGAGCTGAAGTCGGACACTTAACTGCCTGAGCTATCCAGGCACTCCTGGGGATTAAAATATTAATCTCACCTAGAAACACCCTCATAGACAAACCCAGCATAATGTTTGGCCAAATATCTAAGCAACTCAAGTGGTCTAGTCAAGTTGACACATAAAATTAACCATCATGTCTATTTCACATGGTTACAAGAAGGAAAATCCCTAAGCAAATTCCAGTAGGTATATGATTGAGAAAGGTGATTGGAGAAAGCTATGAGAAACTGTTGTATTCCACACTATTGTATTCCTGCATTCCCAGCACAGAAGCATTAACATTTGTTAAATGAGTGAATTACTGGCATAGGAAGAATTGCTGGCTCTTTTAAATGCCCTGGAGACTGAAGAAGGTAGTCCTAAAGCCTAAGTAAGACCTCCTTGGGAGTCCTTAATCTCTAGAGCCTCTCACTCCCTCTTTTTGTCCTCACTCTTTCTGAGAGCCCTATCATTATGTTTATTATTTCAGCCAGAAAATGGACCCTGAGTGCTAAAGAACTGATTTAAGAACTTTGGGAACACAGCTGTTTTTAAGTTGGGACAATGCCTTAGTTATATTATTCATTATGGGAGAGGAATATTGCTTGTAACAGCATTATCTAAGAGCCAGAGGTTGCTCATTTTCTACTCCATTTCCCATTAAGGCAGGGAAACTGAAAGACCCCATAAAAGACGGCTTTTTTGTTGTTGTTGTGTCTATTCCTGCTAGGATCTGCACCCTGCCTTACATATGCCTTACTGTAGGTCCCCTTTGTTTTTTTAATTTTTTAAGTATATTAAATTTTTTAAATGTTTATTTTTGAGAGAGAGACAGAGACAGAGCATAATTGGGGGAGGGGCAGAGAGAGAGAGACACAGAATCAGAAGCAGGTTGCAGGCTCCAGGCTCTAAGCTGTCAGCACAGAGCTCGATGTGGGACTTGAACTCACAAACCTTGAAATCATGACCTGAGCTGAAATTGGATGGTTAATGGACTGAGCCACCCAGTCACTCCACTGTATGTCCTCTTTGTAAAGGTCAAGGAGTTAATGATTACTTTGGAAGCTTCCAGCACAATAGACAACATCTAGGGTGACTCATCAAGGTCATCATGAATGTTTTCCAAGACCATGGACTCTCTACACCTTGATGCCGAGACCCCTAGCTCCAGGGTATAAGTGACTATGGAGGACACTTGAGCACTACTTGTTTTGACCAATGCCTGGGTGACTGAGAGGACACATAAATCAAACCACCATCATCAATTAACAAAAAATCAACAGACCCCAAACAAAGACAAGACTCTTTTTCTTCCCTTTCTGAGTCTCTGAGTTACTCTATCTGTATCTTCACTCTGTATATATCTTCAATTAACACTACTCTCACTCCCTCTTGGCTAGTGTTTGATTTCCAACCTGTGCAAAGCCAAGGACCCTCCTAGCTGGTCCTGTAGAAGCCCCTCTGGATCCTCAGACTCAGCTAGCCTGCATCACCATTATGTGACTTTACTGTAGTTCCAGAAATTTTTGGATAAAAATGAGCCTACATAAATGTAGGCTGGTATTCCTACCACCTGCTTTTAGCCATGGCTGTGTACCTGGCTGTTGTCTGGTATTAATATTGACCAGCTCATATTTATATAACACCTGTACACGGTTAAGTAATTGGAGCAGGCTCCAATTAACTTGTTTTTTTTTTTTTTTTTTTTACCTCTTCAGGTTTAATTCCAGAGAAAATATATTGAAAATGAGACCTTTTGAATGATTTTTTTGGGGACAAAATTTTCCTTAAGTGGCTACGATACCTCTCATTCCACATGTTCTTCTTACAATATAATGGTTACTTCTCCCATTAAGTATAGTCACATTCTCTCCCCTTAAATGTGTGTGTGTGTGTGTGTGTGTGTGTGTGTGTGTGTGTGTGTTTTACTGCTTCAACAAACAGAGCACAGTGAAAATGATGTCATATGACTTCTGACATTAGGCCATGGAAGCCAATGAATCTTCTGCATTTGAAAGAGGACTTCTAACTACTTCCATTTTGATCTCTAACTTTCTAGTTAAGTTCTTTCTAGCTTATTTCTTAACTCACGCAGCAAAAGACCCTCAGCATCCCCTGAGGAAAACTGAAGCTACTCCCTCAAGCAGCAAGGACTGCCCAGGGCCAGCAAGACTCTGCCCATAATAGACTTCAAGGCAATGATGGACCTGACCGCCACTGCCCACCTGCACATACCAGCTGACCTTTGTCCTGACAGTTTCCTTATATAAACCTGGAAGCATTTTCAGCACTTTGGGGTCAGTCCTTGAAACTCTAGTCTGCTGTCCTCCTGGTACTGGCCTCACTGAAGTAAATTCCTTTCTTGTCTCACCACCACTCATCTCTTGGTCTTTGGATTTGGTGAGTGGCCAATGGCTGAACCTGGTCTGTTTGGGACTCCCGGAGCTACGTGCTCTTGTACCCCTGTGCCCCAGCAATACCTTGTCCTCTTGGAACTTTCTCTTGGAGTGCTCCCTTTTGGAACATAGCTGCCAGGCAATGAGGAAGCCAAGCAACCCCACGGAGGGGCCACGTATAGGCATTCCAGCTCGCAGTCCCAGCTGAAGTCCCAACAACAGCTAGCATCAACTGCCAGGAGTGTGAAGGATCAAGCCTTCAGATTCCAGACCCTGGCCTTGATTTTGAGCTGCCCCGGCTGATGTCATGTGGTGCAGACAAGCTGTTCCACTGAACCTAGCCCAAATTGCATATCTGTGAGCAAAATAAAGGATAGCTGTTGTTTAGGCTACTAAGTTTGCAATAAGTATAAATAACACTACTATAGACA